AGGGGGTGTGGCATATGCAAATGAGTTATGCTAACAAGTTATGCGAATGAGCTCCTGCACCTCTTTTTCTACGAAATGACCCCTGTTTAAACATACACGAAACCTTGGAGATGTCGATTCAGAAAACCTCCAGAAAAGTGTGTGTGTTGTAAAGTAAGCATTGTTCCCTTTCAGAGGAAACCTGCTTTCTGCATGAGCTGCTGTCCCCAGTGTGCCTCCTTAAGTTGCTGAAGACTCACGCAGAGGTCCACCAGGCAGCTGCCTTTGCTAGTCGGTAATTCCGAAATGCGACACTGGGAAGAAAAGGGCAAAATTACTGACCAGTGGCAGAGGCAGTTGGGAAGTGGTAGAGCCACAGCAGTGACTCATGCAGAGAGCCGGCAGGCTTCCTCCTTTGTGGGTCAGTACTATGGAACTGCGGTGGCTCAAGTGGTTAAGACACTGAACTGCAAGCTGTGGAAGGTCAGTAGTTCAGCAGTTCGAGACCCAAGTGTGCCGCATGACGGAGTGAGCTCCCGTCTCTCGTTCCAGCTCCCGCCAACCTAGCAGTTCGAAAGCAAGAAATTGCAAGTAGATAAATAGGTACCGCTTCGGTGGGAAGGGAACAGCGTTCCGTGCGCCTTGGTGTTTAGTCATGCCGGCCACATGACCACGGAAACGTCTTCGGACAGCGCTGGCTCTTCGGCTTTGAAACGGAGATGAGCACCGCAACCCGAGAGTCGGACTCGACTGGCTTTCGAGCAAGGGAACCTTTGCCTTTTACTATGGAACAATCCATGCTCCTGGAAAGTGTGCAAGAGCAAAGTGCCTTAATTGGGCAATTCCATGAAGATAGAGTCAGGTGGGTAGCCGTGTTGGTCTGAAGCAGCAGAATGACATGTCACCAGACTCAAACTTTGTTTAATTGGGCAAGCTGTTGTAGCACTGTGGTTGACACACCTCTGGTTCAGATCTCTCCTCCATCACAAGTCGCTCTCTCTCAAACTTAAGTCCTAACTGCAGTGCGAAGGTGATCATCCTTGCCTACCTCGCAAGCTTGTTGTAAGGAACTGCAAAACGACATGAAGTGCTCTGAATACTGAAGAACGTGCCACAAATGTGACTTGGTAGATGAACCTTAAGGTTATTTTCTCTCGCTCCCTCTTTGTTGTCGGTTCAGAGGAAGGGAACGGGAGGGAAGAGTCATCCATCTCTTGACCTGTGCAGAACTGCCAAAACCAAGAGAGCAAAACTTCAGATGAGCCCCAATTGTACAACGGGGGGAAGGGGGAACTGGCCCTGGGGAAGACACTCCCTTTGTGTCCTCTGGGTCCCTGGTTTTCAGACTTGTGTGCAGGGCCGGCCCCAGCTTATTTTGCACCCTAGGCGAGGATCCCTTCTGGCGCCCCCCCCCCCCCCCAGTAGAAAGGTGTTGGGATTTGGGGCAGGAAAGGGCGGGTGTGGGGAGAGAACAACTTGGCGCTTGTAGCATGACAGTCCCTGACAGGGGGTTTTTCCCATGACCAATGATGATGTCTAGCTCCTTGGGCAATCCTGTGCGCGCTCGCCCAGCCGGGAGGAAGGGCCGGCTTACACCGTGCCGCTGGGAGGGCTTAGGCATGAATCTGCTCTAGCGAGCCCCCGGGGCATCGGGCCTTTCTGTTGAGCCCAGGACAAAGACGGGGGGGGGGATGGATGGATTGCTTACCACCGGGGGAGGGGAGGAGGAGGGCCCTGGGACCGGAGTTCTGCAGGAGCGGCTGGGGTCTGAGGCGAGGCCTGGAGTCCCTTGCCTGCGCCCAGGAGTGCCAGGTTCGGTGGAGGGGAGAGAAGGATGGGATTCCCATGCGGCGGGCTGACAAACTTCCGCGAGCTCGCCCATACTTATCTGCCGCCCTCCGTTTAAATTGCAGCGTTTACCACCAAGCTCTTCCACGAGGCGGGGCAGTTGCCGGGGCGAGCCTCCCCCCCCCTCCCCTGCTCCGGGCCAGTGACGCGTCTGCGTGTTGCAGTCAACAAACCCCAGACCACCAGCGGCAACCTATCGGGTGAAGCAGGCGCTTCGAGTCCCCCTCACCTTCTGCACTCCCAGGACACCTTTGGCGGTGGTGAGGGCCCCCCCGATCCAGGGCTCGTGCTCTAGGCGAACACCTAATTCGCCTAGTGAGCGAGCCGGCCCTGCTTGTGTGGCGCAAGTCTTCCTTTTTTACGCCTGGAAGGGTTCAATGTCATTGTGTAAGAGGAACGTTTAACTGTATGCAGAGGAGTCCACCCTGAGTTACTGATCTGGGCCAAGGCCCCGGCACGGATGGAAAGCAAGCAAACAGCATATGCAGATATTGACCATTCTGCCTCTTGGGGGCAGCTTATTCTCTTGTCTCCGACTGCAAAGGGTTTGCAGCATTTCCCCGCACAGCAGTATATCATGCAGAGGTGCAGCAGGCACCCTCCTTGAATGTGTAGGCTTTATTTTGCCTGTAACTGCCGCTGCAGGCTGCAGCTGGGGTACGAAGGACTGAGGTACGAGTCAGTTATTTCGAAAGGGAAGTTTCATTCCCTCTTTGCCCCTGCCACCTTTTTTCTGTGTTCCTCGTGCCTTATTGCCCACCCTACCCCCGATAAGGAGGCCAGTGTTATTTCAGCTTTAAATGCCTTTTTAATCAAAATCTACGCTTCCCCATTGCCTATTCACGCCACATATGGCTCTCCCTCCACCCCCAGAGGCCCGCTCGTGAGTTCCCGCATAGATCTCCTTGGTGTCCGGCGACTCCAAGCCAGGCTGTGAACAAGAGAGATTTTTAACTTCTCAAACAACCGACTTCATCTTTGCAGGACGAGTCGCCGTGTTAGTCTGTCTGCAGCAGTAGAAAAGAGCAGTAGAAAAGTCCAGGAGCACCTCAGAGACTAACAAAAGACGTGGCAGGGGAGGAGCTTTCATCTTTTCGCAATCTCAGGATGCATGAACAGAAGCATTGTGTCCAGATCACAGGAGGTGGTCGTTCCGCTCTATTCTGCTATGGTCAGGCCTCACCTGGAGTCCTGTGTCCAGGTTTGGGCACCACATTTTAGGAAGGATGTTGACAAGCTCGAGCGTGTCCAGAAGAGGGCAACCAGGCTGGGGAGAGGGCTGGATTCCAAGTCTTACAGGGAAAGGCTGAAAGAGTTGGGTCTGTTTAGCCTGGGAAAGAGAAGGCTTAGAGGGGACATGATTGCAGTCTTCAAGTATTTGAAGGGCTGTCCTGGAGAAGATGGAGCAGATCTATTCTCTCTTGCTCCGGATTGCAAGACTAGATCTAATGGGTGGAAATGACAAGGGAGTCATTACCGGCTAAATATCAGGAGAAACTTCCAAATTTTAAGAGTGGTTGAGCAGTGGAACAGTCTGCCTCAGGAGGTGGTGGGTGCTCCTACGCTGGACGTTTTCGAGGGGAGGCTGGACAACCATCTTTCGGGTATGTCGTAGGTACGTAGGGCTCTCTTTCGGCTCTGCTCCTGCAGAGTGCAGGGGGTTGGACTCGATGACCTGCAAGGTGCCTTCCAACTCTAACATTCTATGATTCTAAGATTAACAGAGTTCAGGTCCTGCCTCCATCACACAACCTTTTTTGCTCTTGGCCTCAGTCACCCCTCTGCAAAATGGGAATATCGCTGTATAATTAGGGTAGTTTCACACGGCAGCTGTGAGGAACTGCAGTAGGACAGCTAGATCCAAGTGCAGAAACACCTTAGAGAACCACAAGATTTTCAGGGTACGAGGTTTCGAGCGTCAACGCTTCCTCCGTCAGATATTATTAGGGTAGTGGTTGGGATGTACCAGACCCACGGTGTCAAGGCAAAGGAGCTACTTTTCTCTAAAAAAAAAAAAAAGATCTCGCAGGGGCAGTTGACGGCTCTCCAGTTACCTTGGGTGGCCTTTAAGAGTCCGGGAGATCTTCCTGTTTTTTTCAAAAAGAAAAAGGACCACAAAGAACACACTCGCCCCGCAACATGTCTGTGTTTCACAGGCAGGTGCCCAAGCCGGAAGCTCGGCTGTGG